TCAACTGCAGTTCGAGTCCCAGACCTGGTGGCTTAAAACTCATGCTAGGCTCGTGTGCAAGGGTGCCCAAGATCTTGAGAGTAGAATGAAGGAGAAGGGATTCTGGTGTGGTCATCCCTCCTGGGAGGTGATTTCTCTCTTTCTGTCTCTCTATCTCTGTCCAGCAAGTGCACATGTCTTATAGCAAATTTTTTTGCGAGGTTTTCACTATAGGGCGTGTGTACTCACCAGAAAGACAGAGACAGACAGAAAGTGAAAAATCACCCCTCAGGGGGATGGTCACACTGCAACCCCTTCTCTTCCATTCTCCTCTTGGGATCTTGGGCACGCATGTACATGCACCCAGCGTGAGTTTAAACCACTGGGTCTGGGACTTGAACTGTGGTCGACTACATGGGAGTCCAGCAACATAGCCATTACACCAACTGCTGGCCCCTCATAAATTATTTTTATGGTTCAAATCATGAAGGTCATACATGTATGTGTAAGGTCATACATGTATCTCTTCCAGGTTATTTGTGGGAGAAACTGAGTCATTGGCTTATTTGTCATACAGGGTAGTATACAGTCTAGATTTTGCCAATTGCTTTCATTAGTGTGGCTTAACTGTTTCTCTTTTTTTCTTTTTAATTTTTGCCATAGGATGCATCCACTTGTTAGAGACAGAGAAAGTGGGAAAGCACCAGCTGGGGGGATTGACCATCCACAATCCCTTTTCCACCCTTCTTTCAGGATTTTGGGCACACATGCACACATGCTCATGTGCTTAGCATGTTTTTCAAGCTGCTGAGTCCAGGACTCGAGCTATGTGGTTGGCCATATAGGATCCAGCCTCCATGCCATCTGACTGTCCCTAAACTGTTTCTCTGTGTGTATTTTCCATAAATGTGGAGTTAGGAAAGTTAGATAGTTGATCAGATTCCAATTAGGTTTTTTTTGTAAACAAGTATATATATGGTTTTTTTTTTTTTTTTGGAGAGATTTTTGCTATAGGGTGCATGCGCTTGCCAGCCAGACAGAGAGAGACAGAGAGACAGAAAGCAAGAAATCACTCCCCAGGGGGGATGGCCATGCTGCAATCCCTTCTCCTCCATTCTCCTCTTGGAATCTTAGACACACACGCACACGTGCCTGGCATGAGTTTAAGCCACCAGGTCCGGGACTCGAACCGCTGTCGACTACGTGGGAGTCCAGGGACATAGCCATTACGCTAACTGCTGGTCCCACAAGTATATATTTTTAATGAGGTAGTGGTATGTTGGCCTGATCCTGTAACACACTGATTAAGTGCTGTACATAGGGAACTGGATCCCATTGATTGACATGGTTCGAGTCCTGGTCCCCGAGGCTTGAAAACTATGCTGGGCCTGTGTGCATGCATGCTCAAAATCCTGACAGGATGGAGAAATGGGGGTAAAAGGATTGATTTCAGGGGGATGCTGTGTCCATTAAGGGATGGTCTCTCTCTCTCTCTCTGGCAAGCACATAGGCAATTAAGAAAAAAGAAAGGAAAAAGAGAAGCAGTGGTCGAGCACATGTCTCGGCTCTCTTTGTGATGTCAGCCACCAACGATTACTGCCTAGATTGACGAATTAGATTCCCGGTATTTCTTGCTATCTTAGAGTTTCCTATCTCATCAGTCCGTGCTGCACTCTGAGTCATTTCTTCAATGATTAATTCCAGTTCATTGTATCATTTTTAAATATCTGCTATTTAAGCTGTAGATTTTTTTAAAGTTAATTTCTTTCTTCAGAGAGAGGGAGGCACTGCAGTAAAGTCCCTAGTGATCTACCCCCACCGCCCAGTCTGGATCATGGGAATGTACACGTGTGCCTGGTGTACTCAGGAAAGTCTAGGGGTACAAACCAAGGATCTACCCACATGGGCCCAGTTGCATTACCACCACTCCATGGTCTGGCCACTAATATTTTGTCTTTTTTTTTAATTTTTTTTTTTTTAAACCATAGGGCATGTATGCTTGCTGGACAGAGGAGGAAAGTGAGAAATCGTCCCCCAGAGGGGAATGGTCATGCCCCAAACCCCTCCTTCATTCTCCTCCCCGGATTTTGGGCATTTGCACGCCTGGTGCAATTTTTAAGCCACTGTGTTTAGGGTTTGAACTGCCGTAGACCATGTAGGAAACCAGCGCCTTAATTATCATGCTACCTGCTGGCCCCAATCTCTTGTCTTTTTAAAATTGGTTCTGGGGCCCAGCAGATGATGTGGAAGTTAGGCACTGGGTCGAGTGTTTGAGTCCAGAACATGGCGGTTTGATGATCACACCAGGTATATGCGAGTGCATGCCCAAAATTCCGAATGGAGAACAGAGTAGTAGGGGTTGTGGCATGGCCATCCCCCACCCTCCCTGGTGGGTGATATCTCACCTTTCTCTCTTTCCTTGGCGAGCACAGGGAAAAAAATCTGCTGACACTAGGACACCCAACCCTATGTATATGTGTGTCTCTTCAGGAATTCATTGAAGAGTTGCTGTCTCCCCCTTTTGGGGGCCTGGTGGCATTTGTGAAGGAGGCTGAGGCTTTGATTGAACGTGGACAGGCTGAGCGACTTCGAGGGGAAGAAGGTATGACAATACTGTGGTAATGGTGGCATGATGAAAAAGAAAAATGCAATGCAAATTACATTACACCATGGGGAGGTGGAAAAGCGGGAAGGACTGGATTGGGAGAACACCAGAAAAAGGGAGTAAATGCGGGAAGACTTTGTGGGGTTAAAGATCACCTGGAGTAGTCCCTTTCTGACACTCTCTTCCTGCCACAGCTCGGGTAACTCAGCTGATCCGTGGCTTTGGTAGTTCCTGGAAATCATCAGTGGAGTCTCTCAGTCAGGATGTAATGAGGAGTTTCACCAACTTCAGAAATGGAACCAGTATCATCCAGGTGACTTTCTGTTCCCAGCCCTGCCCCCATCCACCATTACTGATTATTTCCCTCTTCTGGGCATAGCATCATCTAAGGTACCCTTGATCTTCAGCTGCCAGCTGTGCCCAGAGTTCTGGATGAGCCCTAACTTTATTCCTAATCATCATCATTAGCCCCAGCCCACCATCTGATCCCTCCACAACTTTCTCTGCCCAGGGAGCATTGACCCAACTGATCCAGCTCTATCATCGCTTCCACCGGGTGCTTTCCCAGCCCCAGCTCCGAGCCCTCCCTGCCCGAGCTGAGCTCATCAACATTCACCATCTTATGGTGGAGCTCAAGAAGCACAAGCCTAACTTCTGATGTGCTGGCATCTGTCCTGTGATCTGCCAGTACACTCTCTCCATGGACTTCTGTGCCCCATCCCATACCCTTCACCTGAGGTCCCTCTTAATTTTCTCCTTGCCTCCCAGGCCCATGACTGCCTCACCCTGCATTGTCCCCAGGACCCTGCCTTGACAGGATAAACTGGGTCCCCTTGGCCTTTTGAATCTCCCAGTGTCTTCAGGTTTCCCAAGACTACCTCCCCCTGGGCTTCCAAAATAACATTTTCCCAATTTCGTCACCATCCCCCACACACCCAAGGCTCTTTTCTTCTCCCAGTAAAAACCTTCACTGCCTCAATCTGGTTCATTCTCCTCTTGTCACCATATTCTGAGTCATAAAGCCTCAACTCCTGGAATGGGTGGCAAGGGGAAATTGCTGCCAAGTTATTGTGTTTTTGTTTTTCAAAGTGATTTCTTTTCTGTAGCTTTTTGACCTAAGATCTCGGCAACTTGAACACTAACCCATTCCCTTTTGGTTTGAGAATTACTCCACGGTCAGACTGCAGAAAACAATAATAAATATTTAATGACATAACACTCTTCTCCTGCTTTCTTTCTGCTTCCTCTGGGGCTTTCAGGTGACTCCATCTCCTCTCCAGTGAGAGTCCCTGTCCACATGTCCTAGACTTAAACTCCGTTGGCCAGTGTCCAGAAAGAAGGGCACGACGAATGGATTAGTAACCTCAAGCTACTTCAGAGCAAAGAGGTAGCTGCGTTAGTTCGAAAGCAAGCAATCTGTGAACAGAGGTGGCTTCTTGACAGCACTGGCTGCTGCAGGGCCGGTAATATTCAGCCTCAGGCACTGTCCCGAGTTCTGCTTGGGAAAGCCCCAGTTTGGCAGCTCCTTCAAAGCTTCTGGTTGTGGCTGTCATAGTCCCTTTCCTCGAGGGCTTGGACCCGCTCCCACACTGCTGGGGCAGGCGTGGGAATTTATCCAGGCTCGCAGTTTATCCAGCTCATCTCTTTCTGTTTCACTCGGAGCCTTCCTGCCTCCCCAAGGTACACCTCGTTAGAACTCAGGCTCTTGACAGTGGACTCGGAGGGCGCATTAAGTGCTAAGGGACAAGGTGCTGTCAAGGGAAAATGTAATTATGAGATGGTTCCTGCACCCCCACTGCCTGTCCATTCCTTCTCGGGGTCCATGACGAGTGGTGGAAGGAAGACGGTTTCTGCTCCCGCCTGTGCCCGGGGTGGAGGGGGAGGCAAGGGTGTCCCTCAGGAGCACTCGCGGCCGGTCGGAGCGCGGGGTCAGACTGCCGCCAACTAGAGCTGTCTGCCTGATAGGCTTCCCTGATTGGCTGCCGCGGGGAGGAGGCGTGGCAGGGAGGGTTGGGGCTGGCTTCTCCGCTCCCGCCTTTTTCGGGTTCCGCCCCATTTCCGAGAGCGGCTGTCTGATTGGCTTTGAAAACCGTATCTCAGCGCTTTGACCTTGCAGCTTTGAGTCTACACCGGAGGCAGAAGCACCGGAGAGGGAGGAGCGTGTGGGGACTGAGCGACTTCTGATTGGCCTGGGCGCTTCGGGGGCGGAGCTAGGGCTATGTCCTTAACCGACCTCACCCTGCCAATCCCCCTTCTCTCGGCAAAGTTCCGGGTTTGTCGCGCCGATCTCGCCGCCTCACACCTTCCCTGAGGCCTGCCTAGTATAGTCTGGGCTCTGAAAGGCCGCGCGCGCATTCTGGACGCCGGCCCGGGGGTCGTGGGTCGCTTCACCTTCCCTTCCCTCGCCCACCTACTCCCACGCCCCTTGCAGGTTTCAGTCTTGAGAGATCCAGATGTTCTGTCGTCTGCCTGACTCCAGCGTCAGCTCAAGGATGAAGGGAGAAGACCAAGTGGGCGGGTTCCCAAAGGAAAGGTCTGGGCGTACTCCGCGGGGTCTGTGCCGAGACCGGCGGCTTCATCAAAAGCCAGCGCGCTGTGACGTGCGGAGGGCTGTGGGCGTGGTTCTTCACAGCTACGCTGTTTCCTTCTCCCGCCCATTCCCGAGCCCGAACATTCGGATTGGACCGATGGACGCGGGCTTTTGCTGATCGCACCAAGGCGGGGCTAGAATGGAAGGTTGTGATTCTGAAACCCAGTGGGCGTTCAAGTGCCACTGCAGCAGGCAGTTCTCGGGACATTTGGGTTCCCTTCTGACCCGGCCGTCTCAGGATACGGTGACCCGGGGCTGGGTAAGATGAAAAGGAGACACGGCAGCGTGAAAGGGAGCAGCGATACCCACAGAGGCCTTCAGGGGGCAGTATGGGCCAGCGGATGGAGCTTGCCTCGGTCCGCTCAAACCCCTGAACCGTCTCTACTTCCACCTGCACTTGAAGGCAGCCAGGTTCCGCCTTCGCGCCAAAGCTGCTGAGTGCCTTTTCCTTGAGCCCCCAAACCCTCTGGTGTGGCTTAGATGGGGCCTTGTGAACCCCAAGCTGAAATGTATAACCTCTGGGGAGCATCATAACTCCCAAACTTCTCCCCACTTCTGCTCAAACCCAAGAAACATCTGAGATCGCTCCACCGGACGGAGCTGTGGCAATATCCTCTTTCCCGGAGCTGTAGCAATATCCTCTTTCCATCTGCTCATCCCAAGACTGGCGTCTGTATCTGGTGCAAGGGTCCCTAGTGTCACAGAATTTTCAGATGTCCTCGTGGGCTGTAAAAAGTCCACCCCCCCCACTCCACCCCACCCTCTCGCACTGTTTAGGGCCCTCTGTCCTTTAAAGAAATATTTCCCTGATTTCTCCAACTCTGCTGTCCTCTTGTCCTGAGTTGTTCCTTACCTTGGTTTTCTGGAAATGTTTATTTGGCATTCAACAGCACTGTCTGCATAATGTGGGGGTACCCACCTTAGCATCCATTTCTCAACTCTTGAACACGTGCCTTGAGGACAAAAGAAAGGGAACCTCCCTTTTCCTCATCCTATAGATATAGACACACCTACCCTCCATATAGGAAGGGTAGGGAACCAGCAGTTAGCGTAACGGCTATGTCGCTGGACTCCCATGTAGTCGACCGCGGTTCACGTCCCGGACCCGGTGGCTTAAAACGCACGTGTGCGTGCTTGCCCAAGATCCCGAGAGGAGAATGGAGGAGAAGGGATTGCGGCGTGACCATCCTCCCTGGGGGGGTTATTTTTCGCTTTCTGTCTCTATGTCTCTGTTTGGCGAGCCAACATGCCCTATAGCGAAAAACCTCTCCATATAGGACGGGTAGCTTTGGGACCAGCAGATGGCGTAATGGTCATGTCACTTGGACTCCCCGAGAGTCCACCTAGGTTGGAATCCTGGACCCTATGGCTTAAAACTCCTGCCGAGTGCTTGTGCATCTCTGTCTCTCCCATGAGTACCCACCCTATAGCAAAGATCTGTCTCTCAAAAAAAGGGGTAGCTTTTCTGATTTTAGAATATTAGGAATTGTGGAGAGCAGGCAGATTGACTGGGTTCCAACATAAAGTAGTCAGTCTTAGTGTAAAGACTCAAAAGGCAGGACCAACAGATGGCTTAATGGTTAGGTCGCTGGACTCCCACATAGACCACGATTCCAGTCACAATTGGTGGCGTCAAACTCATGCCAGGTAGTGTGCTCAAGATCCCGAATGGAGGAAAAGGGATTGTGGGGGGGGGATGTGATTTCTTGCTTTCTGTCTTTCTGGCAAAGACACGCTCCCAGTAGCAAAAATCTACCTAAAAAAAATTCAAAAGCAAAACCAGGACAAAATAAGAAGGAAAAATAGAAATCAGCCCTCTTCATCCCAGGCACAATAGACACAGCTATTCATGTTACATACTAGAATTAGCAAAGTGTTTTCAGAGCAGTACTCATTAAACCAGCATGCATTTATTATGCCCTTCCCCGTGTTCTGTGATAGGCACTATGGATTCAGCAGAGAACAAATCCAAGTCCTTGATCTCGTAGAGCACACATTTCACCTCATTAAATTCACACACCAGTCCTGTGAGGTGTTCCTCCTGTTTCAAGTAATGAGCTTGAGTTTCGAGTAATGAGCTCAAAGCTGCACAGCCACTCCCTGGCTTGACCTTTCTGTACCCACATCCACTTTTTTTTTTTTTTTTTTTTTTTTTTGCTATAAGATCCATGTGCTCTCCAGAGAGAAATACAGAGAGAAAAAAGTGAGTAAGCCCTCCCCCTCCCTCAGATGGGATGGTCATGCTGCAATCTCATTCCCTGCATTCCCCTAGGATTTTTGGCATGCATGCACACATCCCAGCAAGTTTTTCAAGCCAGTGTATCCGGGTCTCAGAATGCTCAGTTGGCCACGTGGGATCCGTGGGATCCAGCTGCCTTAACTTCCACACCACTGGTTGTCCCTCAACGTTCACCTTTAGTGCCATGATTCCACCAGGGAGTTTAGGAAGCAGCTGATTGTAGAGAAGCAACAGATTAGAGTAAATTGGTAAATTTAGTCAGAATAAATTATCAGAAGGATATTTACAAAATAGAAGGAAAAGATGAGCAGGTATCTTTAGAAAGGACAGGCATCAGGACAATTACAGCATCTAGGTAGCAAGGACTAATGGTCAGTGCTTTTACCTTGGATCAAAAGGAGAAAACTGATTGGCGTAACTTGGGTCAGGTGCCCACCCTCGGCTGAGGGAGGCAGATTCCATGACTAATAAATAGTGTCACCCTACTATCCAGTGTTGGGAGTAATGACCCTGATGTAAAAATGGGATCCCACTACCAGAAGAACAGGGGATGGATGCTAGGTGGCACAATCCAGCAGATATCCACATGCTCAAGTCCTGATCCATCACTAGCACATACATAACCCTCTGAGTGTCAATTAGACTAAGTCTTTGGCTTCCTCTCACTACTACAGTACATGCAGTTGTTACCTTTACTCCTCACCTCATTCTCCCATAAGACTATCAAAATGGGGCAATTTTTGTTTTTGTTATCAGGCATGTCATTTTCCAGAGAGAGAGAAATTACCACCCACCTCCTGAGGATGGGGAATTGGTGGCCATGTAGCAGTCCCTTCTTCATTCTCCTCTCAGAATTTTGGACACATACACGCACACGCACGCACCCAGGACTCAAACTGTGCAGTGAGCCATGTGGAATCCAGTGCCTTGGTCTCCATGCCACCTGTTGGCCCTCAAGCAGTTTTAATTTATTTTTAATTTTAATTTATTTTTTTTAAAATCGTCTACAACAGGGACCAGCAGTTAGCATAATGGCTATGTCACTGAACTCCCATGTAGTTGCCCGTGGTTCGAGTCCAGGACCTGGTGGCTTAAACTCACACCGGGCACATGTGCGTGCATGCCCAAGATCCTGAGAGGAGAATGGAGGAGAAAGGATTGTGGCGTGACCATCCCCCCTGAGGGGTGATTTCTTGCTTTCTGTCTCTATGTCTCTCTCTGTCTGTCTGGTGAGCACACGCGCCCTATAG